CCGGGGTTGTATTCTTCACATTTTAGAATACTTCTAGTACGAAGATCTCTTTGAAACTTTCAGTATTTCTCTAAAAATCATTTTGACAGACTGCTATGCAAAGCGTACGGATCGGACTAGCGAGTAAATTTCCTCTTTTGAAAGTGGTGGCACGATGGATACGATAGCAAAACACGATGAACGGATAGGGTTAAAAGTATAATATTGTACGCTTTTTAATCACAAAAAGCTTTCATCACACACTCATATATATAATGCACACAAAGACATCCAAAATCAGCATTCTTCTAACCTGAGGGGCAATGACTAACAAAGCCTGAAAAATGGCGATGTCGGAGCTGCCTGAGCCGATGGTCATATCTTCCATGGCCTGCTCAAGGACAGAGGAAACACTGTCTCCATCTAGCCCGCTGTTGTTGTGTTGCAGCACATGGCCTTGACATTGCCATTTGCTGGAGATGAAGCGACTGATGACACGTCCAACTTGAGCTCTGGAGCCGGAGTCATTGCTGAGGAGCAATACCTTTGTAATTAGAATCATCTTTGCCAAATTTACTCATTATTTCGGAAGACAGACAAAGCAAAACACCTCACCAGTAAACATAGTATTTATGAGCACACGATACAGTCAGAAAGAGCATCTTCATAAAGAAATTAATCTTTGTAGTTTTCAGGAATATTTTTCACGGGAAAATACTAAATCTAGGCTTTTTCCAATGATATCAAAAGTCCTTATGATGTGAGTATTGATAGCATATTTTGTTCAAGGACAAAATAGAGGCAATGTTAAAGAAAGTTAATGTCAAAGAAAGTTGAGGTTGAAGATCGGTCATAGATCCAGCCTGCTGATCTGATTTCGCAGCACGACCACGACATTGCAACTTGCAGCGGCTGATGATGTGCTCAACCTGAACTCTGTAACCCGACTCATCACTAGGGAACGACACCATCCTAATTATAGTTGTTTGTAAAACTGGTAAAAGTAAAGTGTAAACCTATCACCCCACCCCTCCCCTACATCCTGTACTAGCAGATAAAGGAAGAAAGACAGAAAGAAATGAAAAATAAAAGAGGAAAAAATTAAAGAAAAATATAACGGAAAAAAAAGAAAAGAGAGAAACGATGAAATGAAGTAGCACAACAAAAGTCTTTGATATCCGTTGTCTCTCACCTCACACCTTTCCGGCTAAAAGGTAACGGCAGATCTGACAACGGCATGGAAACTTGCGCCACTATCTCAGATATAACTGCACTTCTCTCACTCTGAAGAACTTTACTCCGAGAGATGATCTTGAAGACAGTGGATAGAAGACGCACAGCACTACAACTCAGCACATCCAACTTTGCCAGATCCTATAAAAGGAAAAAAATACAACAACAAAAAAAGTTCCCTAATATTTTCCAATGTATAAGATCATTAGGTGATTAAACTACATAATCCAAGGGATCAGTCATGAGTTTGAGAGGGGAGAAGCATATTGACACTCATTTAGTGTAGCAAAAGGGCTAGACAGATAGACAGAGACAGCACAGGGAAATGAAAGAAATAGGAGCAACCACTTATTCCCTCTAACCTCCCACAATCACTTGTGACCCACTGATAAAAATCTAACAGCCTATGAAAACTTCCAAGCGATCACTTTGTTGGAGATAGTGCCAGTCTAGCCGTACTTACAGCTAGCCTCTTCCAAGTAAGAAATACAGCACTTTGAAATATACACCCTGAATTCAAACTCATATGGCGCGGCGGCCCCAGGACGGGTCCAGAGCCTGTGGGGGTACGGCCAGGATAAAAAGAGTTAAAAACACAGCAACATAATTCCACATACCTGTGGGCTGTCTGCCCCTGACGCAGCTGAGTGGAGCACATTGTTCACAAAAGTGACCAACTCACGCAACGATGGCAGCACATCCCGGCAGTGAAGGCCCAGGGACAGGAGCACGTCCGTGTAAAACTTGATCTCATCCAAGTCTCCAGCCTAGAGTAGACAGCAGGAACAGAGTAAAACTTTTTTTTTTTTTTGGAAGAAACCATTTGTGAGGAAAAATGAGTGAACCTGATGGCAAAGGTTAAGTCTATAAGAGAAATATATACACGGAACTGAAGACCTAGGGGGTAACTTCACATGTCCACAGCATAAAAATAACTCTAAAATTTTTGTTTAAGACTTCAGCCTTATTAACTAACATTTCTATCACAGTGATATCTAAAACTTTATAGCCAAAAAATTCTAAAAAGACCACCCCCCCCAACAAAATGCAAACTCATCTGATAAAAAATGAAGTGAACGATAATGATGTAATGGACATTCAATACTGTACTTTCAATAACTCAAAGCGCGCCGATAGAAAAAGCAAAGTTGGAAAAAGTGTTACCTGAGTCAGGTGGGTCTGCAGCCTGTGCTGAGTGTAGTGTACAGTGTCTGTGAAACAGCTTCCCAAACTCTTGCTGAGCATTTTGTCTACTTCCCCATCTCCTGAATCTGAACAGAATGTCACAGAACCAATATATCAAAAGTTAGATAAGCAGAGCATGCTTAACAGAGAACATTTGAGGCATCTTGATGAAACCAGGTGCTATCAAAATAATGAAATAGAAGAAATGCATTCTTCTGCAGGTCTGGCAATTCTTATCCAATTTTTGCTTTCCGGCTCAACAGCTTTTATGTCAGTTTAAAAACACATTTCTGTGTGGACTTTACTGAAAAATCTTTGATGAAAGGCACAAGAAATATAAATTTGCAGTTTCCAATGACTCTGAAGCTATTGAAGCCACCAAAGTTTGGTGGCCATTTTCTCGCTTATTTTACCTATGGCACCTGGCAACCCTTACCCCCTTCAATTACAAATATCTCGACTTCTATTTAAGACAGATAGGTAAAATTCATTAAAAGCATGGCATATTAAAAGGCTTTAACTCGCTGGCTACCTGTGCTGGATATGACATGGTCTTAGTACCGTACTATTTCCGCTGACTACCTTTGTCGCAACCCACACGTTTCTTTAGTTCAGAGGTTATTTTTTGCCTTATTACCACAGCATATGCGCAATGGGTACTGCTTTTAAAAACTACAACCACTTTCACACTGAAAGAGCAGGAGAAGGGTAGAAATACACTTTTGGTGCTCTGAGTGCCAAGTGCCATTGGGCATAGTATAGGAAAATGTCTCCATAATCACGTGAAGGAGAGTTACTGACAGTAACAAACTGTGACAATTAGACAGACTGTTGCCATCGCTGGTCCTTTTTGTGTTCTCTACGGGTACGTGTCACAAACAATATAGGAAACAATCATTTTAGTTGCATACAATTCACATTTGATTTGTTTTCCAGAGTGTTTGAGGTCCAACCTGGTTGCTTTTTAAAAATGAAATGAAAGAAGGAAATCGCATTCTGTTTGTTAACTTACAATCTTTATTATGTCCATTAAAAGTGTGCAAAGTTTCCCGACTTTATATCAATTACTTTTGTCACAATGATCATTTGGAAAACACAATGAAATAGCAGGTACATAGAGTACATCAAAGACACACATGGCGGGTAGCCAGTGAGTTAAGATGATACCAATAACTCCACATGCTCAAAAATTGACCAGCACCTGATTCTACTGCTTCATGACACATACATATATGCCTTGAAAAGTTGACACACCTCTTATATACCCTAATAGGTGACTAGTTATTTACTGAAAATTGATATGATAAAGGTAATTTATCGCCACTGCCAGTCTTTCTCCCTCTGCAAAGATGTAACAATTTAATGCTACTCAGTCCTTAATTAATACAATTAGGATAAACGATGGAAGAAGAGGTAGTGTTCCATCACAAGAACATTTATCCTGGATTGGTCCACATTCTGAAAAGAAGACAAATTCATTCTCAGCAACGCAAGCCTCATTTGACAAGGATCGGCTAAAAAGAAAATCCACATCTCACTCACCTCCAGCCTCCTTGCTGAGACTGTGTAGGAGGGCGAGACAGCGGCCCACCAGACCCGCACTGATGTATGGCCGGTTCCTCACACCCGAAATGGATTCAGAGATCTTAGCCAGTACACGTGCCAAGGGTGAGCTTTCCACTGCCTTAGCCGGTGAGAGCTCCTCCGATGAGTTCTCTGATTGTGACTTCTCCTCTGTTACAACAGCTGTCAGAATCAACATTCGAGCAATGCTGATGACTTTGTACCCTTCAAAGACAACATTGTTGTCTTTTTCTGAAATAAAAGAATGTCCTTGTTTTATTATATATATGCAGCCGTGTAAACATTATAATAGAAAACTTCGAAGGAAGAGAGTTAAGCCGCATGTCAATTACAGTAGGTGGAATCTTCCAAAAATGAAATAAATAAGAAAGATCATTTAGCCATTCAGGCTTGGATCTACACGTTTTACAAGACAAGACCCAATAAACTACACGAAAGGGTTGGGCAGGGAATTTATGGATTAACATGCAGCATTTTACAGGTAGTGGGAACAGTAAATGAAACAGCTCCATATCTTTATGGACGTCAACAAAACAATGATTTAGTTTAGTACTCGTTTGTTAATGAAAAAGTAGCATCGGGTCTGAAAAGTTATTATTAGTGAAAAAGGAAAGACATTTATTAAAATACACTATTCAGTTCACAAGGTATGCATACAATAATGCAGAGCACATTTACCATACATGACAAATTCCATTTTAAAGTTCATACCAAAGAATTATTTCGTAAGGTACAAGTCTTATTAGGATAGGACAACATGACCATTATTTATCACTTGGCTACTTAACTTACCTCACCAACACTTTTGAATCAAACGGAAATGAGATATTATATTTACTCCTCTTAGAGAGTTGCTTTTTTTTTCTTCGAAACTTCATTTCTGGACAGGCAACCAAGTCTACTGTCTTCATTTACAATGACTTCACTGCGCCAAGAAGGGTTCCTATTTAGATAACTAAATTAAACTGAAAGGAGAAAAGATACATCTATAAAAAATGTTACTTGCTCACCTTCACCACTGCCTTGCAAAAAGTCCAATATCCATGACACAATGTCCTCTTTCTTCACAAACACAAGCATTTCATCAGTCTGGAGCCATCGCACCAAACTATCCCACAAGGATGTTCCCCTCTGCAAACTTTCTTCACGGTTCACAGAGGCAAATGTATCAAAAACCTCCCAAAGTGATGTACTGTTCTGGGGGAAAAAATAGGCTTTTGAGAAAAAAAGAAATCTCACAGAACAATTCAGAATTACATTAATATGTGTCACGACGAGGTGGAATACACGGCGCTCGTCCTTTTTGGGGCATGTGGAGCCATTGGTATCATTTTAAAGTATGTTCATTTGTCTTGCTTTCGATGAAAAAATACTAATCTAACTTGAAAAGAAGTCGAGATATTTGCGATAGAAAGAGGCGGGGGTTGCCTGGTTTCGGAGGTAACTTTAGTAAGAAAATGGCCGCCAAAGTTTGGTGACTCCCAAAGCTTGAGAATCCTTGGAAACTGAAAATTTACCATTTTTGTGCCTTTTATCAATGTTTTTCAGTAAAATCCATAAAAAATGTATTTTGAAATGGACATGAAGGGTGTTGAGCAAAAAAAACAACCAGAAATTCTATACATATTCTAAACTGGCAGAAAAATGGAGTTTCTTCGATTTCTTCATTTTGATGAGCGCCTGTTTCACCACAATGCCTCACATATATGAGCCATTCTCAAAAGGTGAGCACGCCTGGAGTGCCTTTTTTTTGTCTTGACATGACAAACAGCACAAAAGGATATTTTGTATGAAACCAAGCTTTTTCAATCCAAAATTGAACAAACTGATGCCTTTAAATAAACAGGAAAAAGCCTCATTTTACAAGTTTACCAAAAAGCAATGATTTTAGAAACGGGTACTATATTTTATTTGCTTAAAAGGTGTTTGACATTCGTTTATGACTATAGATCTGACAAAATTCTCCATCTTCGCGTTGGTAAAGAACAACTACACCTTATAACGTGTCTGAACAAAAGAAATTAAGACATATATACATGATCTTGTGGCTAGGCTTCTGGACTCACAATCATAACGTCCAGGGTTCATACCTTGGATCAGATCTGACAATTTCTCCTTTAAAGACATTTTATGCAAGTTTTCCTCACTTTACAGAGGTGGGTGCTTGTTTAATTCATAGGTGACAGGCTATGTCTTTCGGTGCGACCAAAGTTATGGGTTGTACGGATATATATATATATATATCATGAAACAAAATCTTTAAAACAGCTGGTAGCTCTGTTTGCATTGTAAATACCTGTACTAAAAAGCCCCTCATATATAATTGACATATTCATCTTTCCATTTGGCCTATTCAAGGGAGTTTCAATAAACAAATCATAGCTAAATATACAAAGCAACTTGATCTTTATCGTGGTGACTCTAGGCAGGGAGAGCCATACGATGTGTTTACTGCAGTCATGAATGAGTTGAGACAATCAAAGATCTCGTCAGACAGTTAGAATCTTGAGACCTTGTAATAAGGCAGCCTGTAGCAATGCTTCCACAGAAGTTGAGAATGTCTCGGGACACTATTATTGGTATAGAGTCTGTCGCTATAGCAGTATACACTAAAGCATACAGAACTCTCTTTTTAGTTGGGTTGTGATTATGCCCTATAACAATGCAATTTATCATTAACTCCTCATCTCCAACAAGCTGCGGTCGGAACCGCTGTGTTGGTAAGCTACTGGCAGTAGACTGTACACAATCTTTTACAGCAGCTTCAACGTTAAATTACTTTTTGGCAATTGCTGGTAACAGGTCTCTTCTACCAGGAGTTCTTTCATTAGGTGAAGAACTATCAAAATAGGTTCACTAACTTTGATTTAAAGACCAATTTATTGGCATATATACATAAATTTAGATTTCATATCAAAAGAGGGCCTCGGCATAGTGGGTATACCCCAACCCAACCCCCCCCCCCCCCCCCCCCTCTGAGATAAATAGATAATAGATCAAAAGGCAAAAACAGACTGACCACATCCAACAAGTTCATGACCATCTGGCATATAAAGCACTGAATCGCTCCACGTGTCATAGTCTCCAGTGTGGTCAAGCAAGCTTGTAGAACGTTCCTGGAATAATAAGAGCCTTTTATCAAAATTCAGACTGTAAATGAAAAGTTGACACCCTCAACTATAACATGAAAGAACCTGAAAGTTTCAAAAAAGAAACGGTAAAGATTTTTTCTTTACTTATACTTTACTTTTTAATTCTGTTGCCATTAAGCATTGAGGAAAGATGCAGTTTTCTAGGGAAGGCCAGCTCTGCAGCTCTTTTAATTGGGATATCCTTCAATCTATCTTTTACATGGACTACTTCCTTTATAACTTGAGTACTTGGTGTTACATTTTTTTCTTTAAACAACTAAAATTCAGAGCCTAAACTTTCAAACCAATTTCAGGGATACTGTCCAGTTCAAAATGAACATGTTCGTTGAGTTTAAAACTTTCCTGTACCCAGCAACCTCTCCCTCAAATGGAAGATGAAAGACCTGCCAATGATACTTTCTAAAAAACCAACCTGATCAGTTTCAAGTGACCTGAGTTGATGACTGGTCCCTGAGAGATGTGACTTAGCCCTTCAAACAGAAACACCAAAGGTATAGAGCCCCAGCTGTTGTCACACACAATCTGTAGCACGTTGGTCAAGTATTCAACTGGAAGACAACAACAAAATTTACATTGGTATCTCAAGTTAAAAACATAATGAATATTAAGAATGTGAAAAAAAATGTTGGTTTTATTTTCTTTGCGAACTTCATCCCTATCTACATTAAGCTATAAATACTGGGAAAGAGAGAAGATTTTTTAGCAAGAGGAGCAGAATCTGTCTCTAGATGACTTAACAAACTAGACTGTGTAAGTCCCACCACAGTATGTCACATACACCAAGCATGGGAGAGTGTGTCTTTGTCATGGGCCAGATATTGAATGATTCAACTATCTTGTGAGCCAAAGCAGCAGAAAATTGAGTGAAATCGGTTGAAATCTGTCAGAACATTGTTGTCACTATGAATATCAAACAATAGCTAGAACTGATACCACTCCACACCTTTCTGAGTCTTGTCCAGAGTTTTGAAAAGGTGATCAAAGAATCCCCTCAGAGCCTCTCCAACGGGTGAACTTTTCCCCAGTTCGGTACTTTCATACCTGAGGAGATGTCAAGGTACAAGCTATTCAAATACATTCACTGAAGTTACCGAAACAATTAGCAAATTTTAAGCGCTGTACACCACTGAAATACTGCAAGGCATTGAGCTATAGAATCTGTGGAAAAAAAGCTTGTGACTTTAATAAAGAATTATCGGCCTACCATTACTTCCAGTGCAGGAAAAAAACACAATACTACGTTCAATTTGAATGTTTGAGTTGGACATGATTCAGGTCAATGATTCTTTGATAAGAAGTTAAATTGAAAAATTCGAACTACAATCAGTGCATCTTGAAGCAATGAAATTCATTTGCACTCTTACCTAAAACGTCATGTTTGTTCTCACACTCCATTAAGTTACAGAGCATGTATGTTAAAATAATAGAATAATTTTTCCATGACTCTCAACTCAAGACAATGCCAGACAGTATAAGAAAAGGTAACGTAACCAATCAACCAATAGCACATGTACAAGTGCACTTATAGCTCGTTCACTTTCGTCAGACCGTGGTTAAAATGGGACAAAAACAAATCACTCTGTTCTTTGTATGCAGATCTAAAAGTTAAGCAACAAACAGAATCTAAAAGCCTATTCATAAAAGTCACTGCAAACTAAGGTTCGGACACGTTTTCTTTGATGTAAGATTAAAGCAGGTAAAAAAAAATAGGGGATTTACAGCACACACCTAACACATTTAAAAGTTGACATATTTTCCTCAACACCCCACTTTAACCTTCACCTGAGAAACTTGATTAAAGAGACAGAGTGAGTATTTTTCGAGACTCATGTGGAGCACATGGAGACGTCTGGACAGCCGGGGGATGAAATTTACAAACTTACACTGAAATGTTGGGGGGGTAGGTGGGGTGTGTGTCGCTGTCTCAAAATGAGCAATTTGTAGGTAAGGCATTTATTTTAGTGATCCTGTGTATGCATCCAAAGATGGTTTTTAATAAAGGGCCTAAACAGAAAAACTGTTTTATTACAGGGTCAAGATTTTTTAAATTATATTTTGTTTGGTCGCTGGCCTGCAAAAGTGCCATGCAAAGTTTCGTGGGCATAGATAAATTCCTCAATGAACTAGAATTTTATTAACGCGGTTCGACGAAAGTGAACAAACTATAACATGCACTTTACTGGAACATGATAAAATATGTGAGGCAGCGTGGTGGAATCAGGCTCTCGTCAAAATAATCAAAGTGAAGAAACTTGCATTTTTCCACAGGTTTGTGAATTTTTTTGAATTTTTTGTTTTTTGGCTCAACACCTTTCATGCCCATTAAAGAACTCATTTCTGTGTGGATTTTTCTGAAAAACGTTGATTAAATGCACAAAGATGGTAAATTTTCAGTCATCACGGACTCTTAAGCTAAAGAAATAACTAATCTTTGACGGCCATTTTCTCACTAATTTTACCTCTGAAAACAGGTGACCCCCACCCCCTTCATTTGCAAATATCTCGACTTGTATTCAAGATAAATGGATTTTTTTTCATCCAAATAAAGATAAGTGAACAAGCTTGAAGATGATACCAATAACTCTACATGCCCCAAAATTGACGAGAGCCTGATTCCACCACGCTGCCTCACATATAGTCAAAAGCAGCTGTATAGTAAGCCTACCTGGTGTAAAGCTTGTTTTCTTGAAGGTAGACCAACAAGTCATGACTTAAAAACTGAAATAGAATTGGCATATAATTAGAACCTTCTGTGGAAGTACAAATGAAAACAAGCAATTTACAACTACCACAAACATTTTACAAACTCAATTTTGACATTTCTGTGACAAATCATACTTCTTCAAAACAAAAGATGTAACCTTTATTTGTCACAATCAACTTTTGTTGATAGATAAACTTATAATTACCCAACAATACAAACACACACACAAAAAAACTTTTCCTTCTTCCACAACAAGAATGTCCTACTTATCCCCTTTATTGAACTCTACTTCATTTATCTCTCTCCATTGCCATTGCAAAAGTACATTTGCCTGAGAAACCACTTTTCTCCCTGTGTAGCTTTCTCTCTCTATGTACCTATTGTTATGTCTGTCTGTCTATTTGACTATCTGTCTCACTCTCTTCCCACCTCCCTCTCTTTCTTTCAAACTGTTCATATTGTCCTTTCACCAATTAGGTCCCAATCTCTTCTCTTCTCTGCCCCCCACCCCCCTTCCTTTTCCCACCAACCCAACACATCAAGGACAGCAGCAGAGAACACACCTTCAGTTGCCCATGAGCAATCAAGGGTACTTGCTGGAAGTCCAGGGTAAGCAGAGCCTGAGCTCCCCAACGAGACATGTAGTGACTCTCATGCTGAAAACAACGGCTCACCACAGTCACCAACCAGGAAGAGTGAAATACTTTCAGACCTAATAGAGTAGTATACAGAAGAAAAATTGAATTCACATACTTGAAGTACAAAATGAAAATGTTCTCCAGCTAGCTACTCCTGCATTTGAGTTAAATTTAAATTGATAAAGCCGTCAGTTTACGTGGTCATGATGAAACAAACACACGAAATTTTGTTTCTTCTTTTTCTTTCTAAGTTTTCCATTAAGCCGTGCATAGATATGTACTTTTCTTTTAATTATCATTAAATTGACACCAAACGAATGTACATTTGTCAAAACGTTGTGTTTGCAGTACCAGATTTACCAACATAACCCTTTATAAATGTAGCGGTTCCAGAAATTAAATTTGATGAAACATGACCATCAAATCAAAATGCAAAAAATTTTTAAGTCAGATAAGTTTGAATGAAGTTTAAAAATGACAAACAAGCACTTTCTTACCACTAGCAGATTGACAGGAACTTGCTGAAATAAGCTTCTGCATCTTAGGAAGCAGAGGTTTGATAATGTGAACCTGAAACAAAAATAGTTACTTGAATGCGCTTACCATGAAACAATTATCATCATAATCTATATTTATATTTTCAGCACTTTTCAGGGCAACTTAATTTCACTTTGAAATTTGAAAGTCAACATTAAACTATCACAATATCAATGCAGAATTCCACGAAGCACAAAATCCTGAGTGATCTCTACAACTCTGCAATTACTTTTACTTTTTGCATCAGTTGCTTCAAAATATTAGTACCATTTTCACAACAAGAAATGAACCACACATAGCCCAAAGGTTACAAAAATGCTAGTAGATTTTCATTTTTGAACACTCGATCTCTTCAATTTAACAACACTGTTCATAAACAATTAAAACTTAATGGATCCTCAAAGTCTTCATGCCATACTGTGGTGGTTTTTATCTTACTATCTTACAATTATTTTCCTGAATAACTTGTAACCTACACAAAGCTGCCCAGTATGTGAGAGTGCACTACAGCACAGCACTGAATAAGTAAGTAAAAATTCAAACCCATATATTAAGTTTAACAGAGTCATTAGTGTCCAGTACCTGTTTTTCCTCCAAAGTTTCAATAAGCAGAGTGAAGTCTTCCCAAACTGCACCCAAGGCTTTTGCTGATTTTGGGGACCACCAAAATATAGGCTCTTCTTTCTGTTTCAGTGATGGTTCAGACTGTTCCTTTGTTTGTTCTGTATTGGCCACGTTGACATCACAGCCGTTCTCCCTGCACGTGTCCACAAGCCTTTTGAATAGGTACATGGCTAGCTTCCTGTCAGCTGGCTCCATACTAAGCAGTCCAGACTGCACAATGAGCCAAAAATGATTGCTCATTCTTTCAGATAATGCACCAGAATTCTTCTTGCCAAGGGGGAAAAGATAGTCCCTCAAACAGTAGAAAACATAGAGAGACTTCCATAAGGCTTCTTTATGAGACGAGCCAAAAGCAAGTTGTTCCAGAGGTTGGCAATATGCTTCCCACAACATATTGACGTGCTGTTTTTGTAAAGTCTCAGGAAAAAAGGTGAGAAGCTTGCTCAACAAGATGAAGGCTTTGCAAAATGCAGTCTCACTGTGGCTTGCTTTAAACACAGTGTTAAATAGAGCAGTCAACACTGTATCTTTTGATGTGTTTGTTTTATCTTCTACATTCTCTAAGTATCTCGAGAAGACTTCCTGTGAACTCACAACAGAACTAACTAGCTCTAAACAGAAGAACAAAGTGACGGGTTCTTTGACAGCAGTAAAATAACTCGCATCTTTCTTGTCCACCAGAACTTTCTCATCTATTTCAAGTGCAGTTGCTGCTGGTATAAACATCTGAGTAACGGCAGTTCCCAGTGTTGGACCACGGAAATGATGAGTACATTTCATCATCAATCTGCTGATGACACTGAAAGCTTTGCTTTTTTCCGAACTTGGTTCTGTCTGATCTGGGAAGACATGCAGGGAGAAAAGTATGGGAAAACAAATGTCTTTGAAGACATGAAGAAGCATTTCTTCCCACTGAGAATCAGTAGCTTTCTGTTCATAGCTTTCAGCATCTGAGGCAGACAACATTTGCAGCACTGTGTCTAGACTCGCCAGGCTTTCCCTGAGGGTCTCGGTAGAAACATCTCCTCGCTTCAGCTGTTCCTGCACTGGTTTTGTCATAAAATCTATCACTAAGTGATACGGAAACTCTTCACTTTGACTTTTGGAGGTCGTCATTGTAATAGTGTATGACAGGTGATGTCCTTTTCTTTTCAGTTAAATTAGGTCATTCAGTTCACTGTCAGCCTGCATAGGGAAAAAAACAAACAAACATGATCACTCTTAATCATTAAGTAGGTGCTTGAAAGCAAGAAGAACATATAAGAGACTTAGTGAGCACATATTTTTAACGAAGTCACTATTTCTCCGAACGTTCGGAGAAATAGTTCCGATCTTTATTTCTCCGAACGGTTTCCAGCTTCCGGTTCGTGATTTTTTGCCTATTTATTGTGAGAGTTCGGCGCCAACTTTCATTCTGCCTCTGGCTCTGATCTGGGAAGGAACACCACATGGCAAGCCTGCCTACATACAACCTTCAGTAACACCCACCACACACACACCACCATCCTGCACATGTACACACACAAACTTATACTTATACACACACTAACTAAACATGATCAGTGGGCAACTTTTGAACGTATGACGAGCTGAGTTGTGGATGGAGAGACAGTGTGAGTGACAGAGCGGGTGAAAGGAAGAATTAACGAGTGTATCCACAGGCGACAGCAACTACAAGACGACGACACCGACCCCCCTGGCCCGGTCCACAGCTCACGAACGAAAGGAATGTTGCTAAGGCAGTGTTTTACCTATATTATTGTCCATGGTTCGCAGGGAGCAAGGGAAAGAGTGAGATTTTCTTTGTGTGTGCCTGGAGGGAGGGGGTGGGGTGTGAAAGTCATGAGAACGGGGATGAGCCGCGGGAGAGAACACGGGAATTGAATGAATGAGTGAAACTGAAAGAGAGGAACGACTCATGAGCACTGGAGTGAATGTATCCTGTTTTTTATCTTTGTATACTTTGAACTGTTACTGAATAAAGGCTGAAATAAAGCCCGAAAAACACACACACACTCACTCCTCACTCTCCACTTACACACTTACTACCACACACAGACACACTCACACACGCACATGCATAGACACACGCACACACACACACACAGGAGCAAAATTTGGGTCTATATCTATTTCAATTTTCAAGAGCTAGTCTAGAGATTTTTAGATGAGTGTAAAAACGTGAAAAAGAAAGGTTTCACAACAGAATTAAATCAAAATTAGTCGAACAGCCCATAAACAACCACAAAAATTAACAGATAAGGGTGTGTGTCAACCTAGAACCCATAAAAGTGCGTAATTTTTTTTTTTTTAAGTACAGGATATTACATGTAAATTATGGAATCACACACATTAAGGGGCCTGCCAGTGTCAGTACATGTACGGTTTTGGTGGAACGTACGCTCTAACATAAAACATTTAAATCTATATATATACATCATGTATATAATATATATATAGAGAGAGAATCTAATGAAGGTAGGTACTAGGAACATCAAATTAAATGACGTTACACTATGCAATGTTCCCCCCCCCCCCTTTCCCCAACAAAAAAAAATTGATAGAAAAACACCACATCAGAACAATAACAAGAAAAAAAGTTACACACTAACAAAATAAAACCCCGCAGAGAGTCAAAGAGGGAAAAATAAAAGTAACTAACGTATATTTCAAATCAACGTGGTGACAACAAGTGAGAAAGAGACTAAGTGAAGCTAAGGGAACTTTCTTTCAAAAGTAAAGAGGTTCGGTTTCTTTCTTTTTTTTTTTTTTTTTTTACTTTTATTCCCCGACCAAAAAATGCCAAAAAATCGAGCCACGATTGATTGGTCGCGGCAGCGACAAACGCTGAAGCTAGTTCTATGTGTCGTTATCAATAACCCTCCGTAGATCTAGATCTAGACAGCACTCGAGTGAACACAACACATTAAGTTTAAGAGCAGCACCCTTCAAAGGCAACACGTCATATCTGTAGCGAAAAACTGTTTGGAACTGTAGTATTTTTTTATATAAATATTTTTACTGCAGACATTTTTGGACCGATTGAACCATATTGTGTACGAACAATCTTTGGTAGGTCTATACTCTATATAATATCCTAAATTTGGGGGAAAAGATGTGATTTCAGAGTGTTCGGAGAAATAGTGCCCAGCTTTATTTTCCCGAACGTTCGGAGAAATAGTGCCGGCCTATTTTTAAAGTAAAGGAGGGGACAAGGACAGGGGCAGCTCAAAAGATATGTATAAGGAGACTCCTAAGCCAATACTGAATGATTGGAAAACCTTGTGGAGAAGTCACAATGCACTCGCACAACAAAAGAGATGTCCTATGCAATGCATTTTTAACAAATTTGTGTCTGTATGGTCACTATAAGAGATTGGACCTTTGTGAGTTATGATGAGAAAGAATACCATAGAGAAGTGACAGGGGAAGGGGACAGGAGTGTGAGGGTGAATGTCATGTCAAATTTTACAGAAACCTAAGTGTCTTGGAATAAGATGAAATTTACTGTACTGTGATTTAAAATTTAGAAATGTCATAAACCCCTACACCTATTCCCATCCATTTGCTCCCCTGGTCAGTAAAATTTTCCGCTATTAAACATCAATTTGTTCCATTGTGATATGCTTCATTCAGTGTGGTAATTTTCTTTTCTTTGCCCATTTCTATCATTACTTTGAAGATTTATGTGTTAAATGAATGTAACAGTGTAACTTTTGATGTCGTGTGTTACAAGAATTTGACCCCATTCTACAAGATTTACGGACTAGTTTCACAAAAACTATATTCTGTGTTATTTCCTACCATCCACTTAACACTTTCATAAAAAGCATTTGATTATAAATAGCTCTTTTTTTTTAATTGTGGAACTTTCGTATTTTTATAGTAGTGTTTTTATGTCTGTTACAATGCAATGTCACGAGAGGTGGACATTCTGTCTAATGTTGTCATACACATGCATTTAACCAGGAATAGATGCATTCCAGCAAAGTACATGCTATGAGAGTACAAGCATATAAAGATAACTGGAATACTTTATTCTATCATTGGAAGAATGGAAGAAAAAATTTCCTTACGAAATCAAATATTGGTATTTTTGTCTTTGAACTGTTCCATTTTTCTATCACTTTTCCCCACTGTTTTTTGTATGAAAGAGATGGTTTCAACCGTTTCTGAGTTCAGAACTACATCATTAAACCTTTTAGTCAATAATTAGTTTGTCAATTTTTGTGAACACCTGAAAGACCATTGATTTCATGTAATATTGTTTCGTGCGGTTCAGATGTAGAATCTAGTTTTTTTTTTATTTTGTAGCCTGCCCTGGGGAGGACATGCGATTAAACGTAGAAGGACGCATACTATTTTTAGGTAAGGTGGCCAATTTGTGTGACGTCAGACCGGAACACCCCCCCAGATCATGTGACTATACTATATTTAGCCAACGGGATGGCACGACGCTTTGGAGCGATGTTTTTCCAGGAATACTGGTAATGTGATATGATGCGGTGCTCTGATGATGAATAGTCTCTTTTATACGGTAGATCTAGAGGAAACGTTCAAAGAATGAATTCAGTAGACGCAGAGTGAACCGGAAAATTAGGAAGCTCAAACCCGTCAGTGTCTCAATGAAGGAAATTGTTGACATTCTCGTATGGTGTCAATACTGGAACTGGAATTCCGAAATGTGATTAACATCAGAAACACATCATTCTATGCGGCTATAGATGCAGAGTGAACCGGAAAATTAGGAACCTAAACCCGTCAGTGTCTCAATGAAGGAAATTGTTGACATTCTCGTATGGTGTCAATACTGGAACTGGAATTCCGAAATGTGATTAACATCAGAAACACATCATTCTATGCGGCTATAGATGCAGAGTGAACCGGAAAATTAGGAACCTAAACCCGTCAGTGTCTCAATGAAGGAAATTGTTGACATTCTCGTATGGTGTCAATACTGGAAGGCCACCTCTATTCTCACCCGGAGTGAGAATAGTGCAGGCGAGTCTTGTGGCTATTCTCACCCGGTGCGCGTTCACCAAATTTTACGTTCACCCTAAACCACAGAATTCTACACTGTGATAACAGAAAAATTGTAGAATTCTGTGCCGTGAACAAACGTTCCATTACAACTGTAGTGTCTGTAGCCTACTAAAAGTAGTAAAAGCGTACAATTTTGTCTGTGGGCAGTGGAGAGAGAGAGAGAAAGAGAGAGAGGAGTAGCGCTAGAATTTCCGGGCAAAACAAAATGGCGACCCGCGTAGTTCGGCTCGATTCGAAAAGTTAAATAGCCGTAGCATCTTTGTAGACAACCAAATGAATTTACTTTTGTGTTTTAACATCATTTTTTAACTTTGTTATTGTTTTGGTCAATTTGATCGTCCACACCGATAGACAGTATTCAGAAAGAGACAGAGAGAGAGAGAAGAGGGGAGGAGTTGATCTTGCGAGAACTTCCGGCGGGTGAGAATGAGAATAGCCACTTTCATACTGGAACTGGAATTCCGAAATGTGATTAACATCAGAAACACATCATTCTATGCGGCACCTCAACGGCCTTCTTAAAATAGTCTGTGGGTATCCCAAATGACACCACATTACTAAAATTAGCAGCCAATCAGAAAGATGCGTCTTCTACGTTTAACGGCATGTTGTCTGAGGCCTCCTCTGACGCCTCTGTCCCTCTGCCTCTGCCTCTGGCAGTACTGTGGGTGTAGTGAGGGAGTGAAAGTTGAAATTTACCAAAACTTGTAAAAAGATGAGCTGTCACTCTCACCCTATCAGCAACACAAAACAAAAATAATTTTTTAAAACCATTCTTTATGTCAACAACATACACGTGTGTCCATCTGGTGTCATCAGATCATTCAGTTTGCTCCAGCAACACGGGCACACGGTACACCAATGTGAAAGTGAAAACGGAAGTCTGTAACATGACAAAATACTTTCGTCTTATTTGAGGCCAGTTTTTTACTTTGGGGGTGGGGGGGATTCATTTGTTGACTTTTTAATTAATTAATTTTCTTAGAAAGAATAGATAGATAGGTCTAGTAATAACTCAAATTTTTGTGAGAAAAAAAATATTCCAAAAATTCCAATTGTAATTAAAAGAGCTACAATTTGGCCAACTATTCGCATTACACAAGCTACAAATTAGGAACATACCGTAATCAAGAGTTGGACCATAATATTTATGCCCTAGTTTATTATAATTCAGATCACAACACCCCCCAAACTTTGTGATCTTCTTTCACAAGTTTAGCATTGGCCTGGCTTCAGGATTTTTACTTCCGCATCGAGGGGGAGTGTCGCCGTGGTTCGTTGCTTCCTGGATATTACAAATCGACGAAGACCCTCCAAACTAAACCCACCAACTTGTCTTTCCAGTGGTTCAAACTTGCTACAATAACAATGGTCAGTACGCATTCTAATTTGTGTTTTAAGACTAAACTAAACGTAGGTTTGAAAATAGACTTACACGTTCCGTTTATCTTCACAGTAAATCATAGTTGCCACCAGTTTAATCTGTCAAGAGGAGATCTAATCTAGATTTTCTAGATCTAGATCTAGATCTAGATCTAGATCTAGATCTAGATTCTATATCTAGATATATAGTATAGATCTAGTCTAGATCTATATATCTAGATTAGATCTATAATCTAGATATATCTAGATCTAGATCTAGATGTAGATCCAGATTATAGATCTAGATCTAGATCTAGATTCTAGAATCTAGTCTGACTTAGAACTTAGGTTAGGAGTTGGCCTGTCATGATTTATTATAGAGAAAGATCTATAGATTCTATAGGCCTATTATAGGCTCCCCTATTATATCTATGATTTCTATGTGTGTGTGTTTTATAAAAAAGAGTCTTGGCTAACGAGAAGCCTATAATAACGTAATAGATCTAGATCTAGAAATCTAGTAATTTCTAAGTTAAGATAAATGAGAAAGCCGTTTTTTTACATTCACGACAGATGACACATCATCATAGTCTGACATAGACTATCATAGTAGTCTTAGCCTTAGTTTTGATATAATCAACTAGATCCAGGCCTTAAACTTGAATGACTTCAACAAACAAGTAGAATCTAGCCTAAAAGTCTTTATAGATCTAGATATTAGAGATAGACATTATTATATTATAGTTAATTAGGCCACCTCTATTTCTCAGAACGCTCGGGAAAATAAACTTGAACTCTAGGGAAGATTGAAGAATACTGGACCACTCGTATACACATTATTGCGCGAGAATGTGGGGTGGGTGCGGCGGGTGAAGGAGGGGGTGGGGGGTTCAGTGGGGTCTCCCCCCTGACGAAATTTTTAATGATTAGATCTACCGGTCCGAGATTCTCCATTGAGAGATAAAAACTGGGGAAAATCATGAATTCCTAAGGTTGAGACATAGGCAAAGTCAGTCCGCTGGTCCGATATTCTTCAATCTTACCGAACTGTATTTCTCAATAATACGGTTTCTGTTCTCGAGATTTTTGGGTTATTTGCAAGTGGAGTGGCCTGTGTGTGTGTGTTTGTTTGTGTGTGTATAAGGTGTGAACGGGAGGAGGGTGTAGGGGCGTGGAGGTATTTTTTTTGTAGATCTAGAGTTTTTGCTTAGGGGTGACTAAATGCAAAAGGTTACTGCCAAAGTCGAGCAGTCTTGTTTTCTCGCAGTACATTTTGAATTTGAAAGCATTTTCAAATGAAGTATAGTCCGGGAACGTTGCCCCAACCACAATTGAAGGATCTGAATATTCAGACATCTAAAAATCTCTAGCTCATGAAATTGAATTCGATGCAAAAAAAATTAAATGCTTCTTCCCAGTCCTCGCAGAATGAAAGATGACACCGAACTCTCGCAAATAACCAAAAAATTTCGAGAACTGAAACCGTTTGGAGAAATTCTGAAATAGAGGTCAAGTTTATTTGCCCGAGCGTTTGAAGAAATAGTCACTCTTTAGCCTACTCTAGAAATCTATTCTAGATCTAGAATCTAGATCCAGACACTCACACCCTGTCACTTTTGCACTGCTTGCACCCCTGTATTGTTGGCCCTATCATCCTATGATACTTGCCCTGCCTACACTATTTAATTAAATTTAAGGCCTCATAAATGTAATTCAAAGTCAGTAAAATCCTGTCTTCTATTGAAATTCTCTCTTTGTTGTTAAAGGAAGACAAAGTCAATGTTACAACTTAACAACTGTGAATGCCTTTTCAGAATACTTTGTGGTGTGGTACTCAGATGGTACTGTGCAATTGTTTCTTTTCTTGCTTGCACATTGGACCCCTGACACTGACTGATAGAGTTTCTTTTCATCATCCTTCAAAAGATGATATATATGGGAATGGAAAATTGATAATATAATTTCAGTAAAGTAAGAAAGGATAGATTCAAAAACCTTTCCCCTGCTACGGTTGTCGAAGTAATTTTATGAAGAGATGGGAGGATGAAGTAGAAAAGAGGGAAGGACCATGGATGAATATAATATCTATATATAATTTGTTTTCTAACTTAAATGTCAAATGAGTTGTCTGGACTTGAAACTGAGCTCCTGTTGATGAATGAGTGCTCTTCTACTGCATCAATCTCTTTTTTAAAGTAGATGGGTCATTACTTACTCCTCTATTGGATGAATATAGCGGTATTCTTTTTTAAAAAAGTAAAAGTGTGTGTAAAAAGTTAGGTTTTTGTAAGGGAGACAAAACGGGACCGTAGGCACAGTTCGACGGATGCGTGATTGCGAGTAATCTGTGTTCGACCTATCCAGGTTACTGTATGAAGTGCATTTTTATAAGCATTTGCTCTATTTTAACGCCTGCTTACGTTTACACAGAGTTCTAGGTGCTTTTTATTATCAATCAAAGTACAAAACTGTGAAAATAGCTCACACACTCACACACCCTTATTCACACACACACACTTATCCACTTAAATGCACCACACAAGCGCATGCAGGCACACACACACACACACACACACACACACACGCACACACACAGACATCTTTTCTCTCATCACACATGCACACATTGTAATACTTCATCATGAATGGGCCTTTCAAAAGCATTTGTAATATAATCAAACCTTTATCGCCACCCTTGGGATGAGAGAGAAGCTCACCGCTAGATGTGCACATCCACATGGAAGTGAAGCTTTTAAAAGCTCAAAATGTGACTCTTCTCTGCCAAAATTTGTCTTATTATATATTGGCCATAGCAGAAGATTCAAGTTGTACCTAAAGCTTTATTTAATTTCTTTAAGAAATTATTCCCTGCAGATGCAGTGGTCATTGTTGGGCGCTGTCAGGCGAACGTTAAATTATTATCAATAATTACCATTAATCATTTTTAATATATTTAACCCTGTTGCTATTATTATTGTTTGATCACTATATTAATTATCATAAATGTGTATTATTATAGTATTTTTATTAATATTATCATTATGATATTATTATTATTATTATTATTATTATTATTAATGAATGGTTATTATAAATTTTATGTCATTTTTTTTTGGTGTATAGATGGGTTATTTGTTGTAATTAATAGCCGTTTCTTTTGTGTTAAATAAACTAATATCTTTTTCAATTTATTTTGATTTCAGTCAAGCAATGTCACTATTTGTGAAACATCAGCTGATGTGTTAGCTTTAGTGAAAAAGTTCAGAATGCGGAAAGAGAAGAATATTGCTGCAATTGTTTGTAAGTAACACTTTTCTCTGATAGCGATTACAAGTTCTATTATTAATTATATTCTCTATATTTTGGGATCTGATTGTTTGCCCTGAAACCACTCTTTTTCAGGGAAATGGGATTTTTCATTGCTCTTAATAGGTCTTATCATAGCTCTTTCTCCTTCTACAGTTGTTTTGGGCTCTTCTTTTCTGTTTCTTTGGATCCACCAAATCACCCTTAAATGTAATCTATGCTTTTGCTTCAATATTAGAACGAGCAATTATGTTATTTTTGCTAAAATTAGTTTGTCAATTTTTGTGAACACCTGAAAGACCATAGAATTGGTGTAATATTGTTTCGTGGGGTTCAGATGTATTTTTTTTTTTTTTTTACTTAATCTTGATTTCTTTTCACAAATAGCTTGGTTTATATCTTTTCTTTTTCCTCTCACTTTGTTATCCACTAATTTCCTCTTTTGTTCCTTTTTTGTTTCTGACTGTTTTGTCAATACACATCCCCTTTTCTTTCTTTCCTTTCATAAATGTATAAACTCATACACATAAAACATGCTGATACATGCCCTCTCCCAACCGCACACACACACACACACACACACACATGCACACATACTTGCTTGCATGCACATACACCACACACACACACACACACACACACACACACACACACACACACACACACACATATCATACACGCACACAGATACTCACAAGTCTGTTTGAAGACTTTCTTGCATGCTATTTCAGACCATTATTGCTGCCTGCCATTGGCAATCAGAGATTTACAAAATGATTTGCTGATAATGTTCAATTGAATGCCCTCAGTGAAAATTGACAAGCCTACTTTGACTATTGTCCTGGATGAGGAACATGAGGTAGAAGTTTTTTACTGAAAAGTGACAGGGTCATAATTTTGTTTAAGGGCTATTCCATGGTAACTGACAGGACATTTTAACTATACTTTCTTACAATTCAATATCAGTTAATTTATTTCAACTTTCTATGATCAGAACATTGGAAGACATATTATTAAGATAAAATACCTCATTTGGCTGGTCAGTTACCAAAACTAAACATGTTACAGAATTTGTATAAAGTACTTTTTTTCAAATGACTGAATTTAATACAGTTTTTAATCTGTCTTACAAATTTTCTGATCATTTAAAATCTAAATGATATAAAATTACAGTGTTATCATTGTAAGAAAATATAGTCCAAATGTTAATGTCCCGTCAGTTACCGTGGAATAGCCCCTAATAGCAAACATAATTAGACTAGCCTATGCTGAATGAATTTTTTTTTGAAAGGTCATTTAAAAATCTCTTTCACATTTTCACTCATGTTATATTCATTTCATGATTATGATATTTCAATATATTCCTACATCTTTTCTTAAAAACTGCTTTCATGAAAGTAAAGGTACTGTGTCTGATTTACTTTACATTTGTACTGCATGTTGATTAGAGCATTATTTTCTGAGGGTGACCTTATTTGAGATATTTGTAGAGTGTTCTTTTATACTAAATTATAATAGTCTTTTAATATACTCTGGTAGTGGTGTGCTGTTGCCATTAAGCACATAGATAAAACTAAAATGAACGACATAGATGCTAAATGGGGGGAAGCGAAAATAACTCTGAAATTCTGAGGATCAGTTACCGTAGCGAAAAAAGGGTAGTCCAATTAAGGTTTTGAGGGGGGGGGGGTTATCTTATTGGGCCTGTACAGTCAAAGTAAGCACTCCTGTACCACTGTTGAAGTCTTTCTTGCAAGATTATATTGGTAAATGTATTGACCTGTAAATTATCGAAATCTGCAAATATCCATCTACTTGCATTTGACAAAAGAAAACATTTTAAGGTGAATTTGTGTGTGTCACTTCGTGATTAGTGATTCATTGTTGTTATATTTATCTGCAGGATATCACAATTGAAGATCTTCAGGATGAGCTGCCCGCTCAACAGCCGAGGTACATCATCTTGAGCTATGTACAAAAACACGATGATGGACGGACGTCATTTCCTTTGATGTTCATCTATGTCACTCCCCAAGGTCAGTAGGCCTACATGATAATGCCCTTTTTCAGTTCAGCAACAAGTGGTAGTTGTGTGCTTCTCCTGTTTTGCTTTTGGACAAGGATTAAAACTAAAAGTAGAAATATTCCTTGGAGAACAAAAAAAAAAACATTTTTAAAAAGAAAATTACATCTAGTGTGGGTTTTTTAACCCCCCCCCCCCCCTCAACTTAAGCTTATTTAGGAGGAAGGCTTCTGACCCTGCCTGTCGGGGACAACCCGGGCTGAGAGGGATATATGTATGCAACACATCCAAGCAGAAAAACCGAGATATCGTATTCAATACTGAGGAATCGAAGTCAGGTCTCCTGCATGTGACAGCAAAGCACCTAACTGCCACACCACAGATGTCAGTTTAACTTCTGTGTATTTATCATGTTTGTCATTTTGTTCCATGTGAGGTCTGAAAAAGTTTTGTTGATACTTTTTTTTGGCTTTGTTGTTGCACAGATGTGCTTGTCATTGAAATGGTAATATTGAAGTTCCCAGGATCGAAACATTGTTTTAAAAGCAGATGAATTTTAGTTTTAAGGAAGCAATGTCACATATATGTGTTTGCCAGTTCAGGATCCCAATCCCGGGACTTGTGATTCAACATTTTCCGTATATTTCTTCATTGTCAGCTATGAAAATTAACTCATTATGTAATATGATTATTGGTTTGTTGTTTTTTTCAGGATGCAATCCTGAGCAGCAAATGATGTATGCAGGTTCAAAATTAGAAGCTGTAAAAAATTTGGGACTCACCAAGGTAATTAATGCACTCTCTCTCTCTCTCTCTCTCTCTCTCTCTCTCTCTCTCTCTCTCTCTCTCTCTCTCTCTCTCTCTCTCTCTCTCTCTCTCTCTCTCTCTCTCTCTCTCTCTCTCTCTCTCTCTCTCTCTCTCTCTTTTTCTTTCTCTCTCCCTCTCTCTTTCTCTCTCCCTCTCAGTCTCCCTCCCTCTTTTCTACATTGTCCTGCACTCAGTAACTTGCTCACTCATGACTTTTATACAAACCAGATTTAGGGGAAAGATATGATTTATTCTGGGGAGTAATGCTTTCTGTTTTAATGTTTTGTTTTACAATTGCATGTTTCACTCAACACACATGTTTCCACATTCATAAATAAGGTAAATAACAGAGTTCCCCCTCCTCCTGCCCCTCTGTTTGTTAGAACTATACCGCAATTCTGTAGAAGATTTTTATTGTTTTGTTATCTGTAAACTGACCATTGTGTAGATGTAAAGTTTAACTTTAAGGTTGTAGTTCTGAGCTAAAACAAATCTCCATCGTAAGGCAAGTGACATCTTTCTCAACAGTGCTTGAAATTTTTTTGTCGATCAGTATTGTTATTATGCTAAAGATATAACATGAAACAAGAGATGATGATAATGTGTTAGATGTAGAATAATCTTGATCAGAAAAGTTTTATAACTACAGCAATGTTTTGCAATACTGTAGAAAGATGAGGAGAGGAGACATTGAATTGAATTAGGGGGGTGGGGGGGGGGGGGTGTTTGTTGTTTTTTGTAGTTTTGTTTGGGTTGTTTTTGGGGGTTTTCAGGGGGGGAGGGGGTTCAACTTAATATTGTGTAAAGCAGATGGAGTGTTGGTAAACTGATGGGAATAGACTGTTGTTGAATAGTTCCATACATTCTACTGTGCAGATGTAATCATTCAGTGATTCTATTCTGTTATCCTTTCATTTATATGGACCTCTTGTATCTGTCAGGTGATTGAACTGAGGAGTCTTGAAGATCTCACAGAAGAAACTGTTTTGGACAAGCTCAAACTTTTCAAATAGTCATCATCTCTCAGGGCAAGTGTTCTGAGTGAATATCTTTCTATCATGTACAAAGACTATGTTTGTATATTGTAAACTATGTTCTATCTTTTAATTTTGATCATACAGTAATTTGTCTTGCATTCTGTTTGGGTCAGGCACATATTGCTGAAAATAATGCCAAATAGTCTTTGTTAAATTAAAAGTAAAATTACTGAGGTTATATTTGTTTTTTCCTGTCAATTCTTTCAATTGGGAAAAAAAATAATCCAATGTCCAAATCTGTTGATTTTAAAAAAAAAGAGGGAGGGGGGGACCCAAAAAACCCTGAAAATACTCTGTGTAATCCTCCATTCTACTACAGTTCTTACTTCAGGTTCCTTATTTTTGCTCCTTTTTCGACAGACTCCAGGGGTCGTATGACATGGGAAAACATCATAATATTCTGCATAAAGACTACCCTCATTGATAACAACTTTTTGCCACACGATTGATATGTAGAAAAAAGATGTTTGTCAACAGAAATTATTTACTTTGCAATTTTTTGTAAATAAATGTAAGGATGCAAACAAGAATCTTTTGCCTTTCTATTTGTGTGATTGCTGCTAGTATAAATGGCCTTGTTTCTTACCCAAACTATCCTTGCAGACTTTTGTCAAGATCAAAGTTCTGTGAAATTCTGTCAGAAACATTGTTTCCGACCAGAAACTCTACTACTGAGTCAGTTTCTTAAACAAAGTAAAGCTCAAAGGCAATATATTTGTCTTTTATGAAGAAAGAGGTATTTTGAGGGATGCATAATTTTTGTTTTGTAATATGGAAAGAAATTTATTCATTTGTAACACACAATTTAAATGAATTCAGCTATGTTAAGATTGATAGTGTTCAATCTTTGAACATTTGCTGTGCCATGTTTGAAGTCGTGCTTTTTTTTTCCAAGTTAATACACATAGTGCATTGACAAATAAAAATATTACATCTGAAGTACTGATAATTTTTTTTTTTTTTTTTTTTCAATTCATGATCCAACCTTTATTAATGTCTCTAGGCCTTTGATTCCTAGCTCCCTTAGCCTACAAAATCCATGCATCTGAGTACTTTTGGATCAACTGTCATATTTTCTCCGGTGCAGCTGAGAGATACCTGTTTAAGTTTACGGGAAAAGGCAAATTTTGCACTCACTCAGGCACGGGCTCTGGTCTATATGGTAGAGGAACTAAAGTGTGTGTAGTGTGCAGTGTCTTTTTACTTTTCAAGTTTTTAAAAAGTCCTTACTCTACCAACATCTTCATCATGCATGCAAGATATAAGAGGTCAATTGCCAAATGGGGAAAGCATTAGGATTATGTTTGGAAGTTTGTAACACAATTCTGATTAACCTTGATAGACAAGCTAACTGCATTCTTCATATGTGTGTGTGCTTGGTGAAAGGTCCCAGTTGTCAATAGTTGTGGATATTAACATAAGGAGACATTCTAGTAGCAAATTCAATTCTGAACATGCTGATTTTAAAAAAAAAAAAATTTCAAAATATCCGGAGTGGTTTTAAAGATATGCCATATTTTGTAATACAGGGTGTCAAAAACAAAGTTTGGTGGAAAACCCAATTTCTAGCATATTTTTAGTGAAGTACATGATTCAAAAATAACTAATAAAAATATTTAGACTTTAAATATTATAAAATCCTTTCTATGTTTTTAAGAAATGGTTAAACATGTATTTTCTGATGGAACTATAGCTTTGCCGATAACTGGGACCTCTCTCTAGGCACACACACACACACACACACACACACACACACACACACACACACACACACATATAATAAATTGTCTGAACTGTCTTTAGAGGGTGTCAAACTTTCACATTATATTCAACAATTAAATGCTCCCTTACTTGAGGGTATTTGTGTCTTGAATTTCTTTTGTATGTTAATTTTTATACTGTAAAGAGAAAACTGCCAACGATGTGCACTAATTTTTTAAAATCTTTGTATTTTATTGTTTCCACATATATTTCTTTCAATCCCTGTGGAGACAGTGTCTGTTCTAATTCCTTTCTTTCCCCATGAACATTGTCATGTGGCAGAGGCACCATGCAAATGAGTTTATAAAAAGCAATTTTTATATGATTCTGATCTACTTTCTTTGAGGGTTTTCCGGTAATGATCCGAAGAAGACATTTTTTTAAAGAGCTTGGCGTTTTGAGAGAAGCAGGCATTTTAATACGCCGCTTTTTTCCCCCATTTCTAGTTTGACCCAACAAAAGATGCTGCATGGTCCTTGTGACCTGATGTGGTTGATTTTTTTAATATTGAGGATTAGGTCAGTTCTTGGAGGGATTTATTTACACCCCAAATGATTTACAAATGCCAGTTGAATTAAACTTGCTTTCATGGCTTACTCAAGGTGAGTAGGATTATACAACATATTATGTGAAATTATGAATATATACTCATTGTATATGACACACAACACAATCAGTGAAGGGCAGAGACACTTCCAGTATGTTTCAATTATACATAGAAATTTATCACTATCTTTACAAAAATTTACCTGCAAATGAGTTTATTTTTTAGACAGGCATGTAGGAAGAAAATTTTATATATATATAGATCTAGTACTTTTAGTAGCCATAAGCATAGCATATGGAAGGTACTTATTTTAATGCCTGTATGTTGCATCGTCATCAGTACCAGTGGCCTCTGTGATTCTGTACATGGGTAGTTCATATCTTGGCCACTATATAGATCTAGATGTATTTGTATTTGTAATGTTTCGGACAGAAAGTGCAGTTTACACGTTTAAAGCTAGTAAGTGATCAAACGTGGTTTATTAAGTGTACTCATGGCAACACTTTAAAAACAACTCTTGTATGCATTCTTATCAGAGAGTATTATTGCTGCTAGAGGTAGTTTATTTTGATTTTGTTTAATTTTTAAAACGAGTCAGTGCAACTTTAACCACATTTTGCATGGAAAGAGATAATATGATATGAGAAATATATTCTGAAAGGAAATAATGGCTGTCTGCAGTGCAGTATCAACAGACCTCCTGTGAAGTATTACTAAATATAAGCTGTTTGTGTAATTTCTTACATTCCACTCGCTGCTTTGGCTTTTTCAGTGAGAGTCCTAGTCTATCACAATTGTATGTAAGAAAAAGAGTGTGTAAATAGGAGGTACAAGTTCTAAACATCTGGTCTTTCTCTGTGTTGTCTCTGATCCATTGATTCTGAGACGTTTGCAAGCTTGCTACATTTTGCTCAGGCTGCAGCCTCACTCTATGGAGCTGTTTCTGTCAGTGTAAATAAATGTTTAACCCATAGCCTACATTGAACATAGAACTCACTGTGTGAACTTTTCTGAAGTGGGTGTATAGTTGTACATTAAAGTTGCAACCCATCTCCGTTGAATGCACTTATTTCTTTGATGACAGAATGTACTGTAGTCTTAAAGAAACAAGTTACATTCCATGAATGCAATTTTTTTTTTACATCTCTGTTATTTTTTATCTTGGGCCTTACTATGCATCAGTATTTAGTTGGCCCTCCCTTTATACTGTGCATTCTATTTGAAAATAAAGAGTGCCTCCTTGTTCTTTCATTTATTGTCTTATTTTTAAAAATTGTCATTCACAATTTTGTTTTAACATTTTTGTTTCATAAATTGTGCATGAGATGCTTTTTCACCTCAGCTCTCTTCTGGTCAAAGTTTAAATTCAAAACTCAATATTTGTACCTGTTCACTGTCTTACTCACTGTCTTCAATGAATTCAATTCTTTATATTTTTCAGCACGTAATGCATCCTGTTCCACTGCTGAATATCTGTTTTTGCCACCAATAGACTTGCATAATCCTTCACAATGAAGAGGTGAAACTTTTGGGGGGGAAATGATAATAGCAATATTTTTAAAAAGTAAAATATGACAAATCCAGATTTTGTTATTCTTGAACTGAAAAATAATGTCTTATTTGGTTTGCAAAAAAACAACTAATGTGACATATTATTGTAGTATGGGAAAGTGTAGTGCTAAACCTCCCGCTCAAATCTTATAGTTCTGTCATGATGTACAAGGAGATCATTTTTGTTTGATTTTTTAATAGTCATTCAGATCTGCAGCTGAAACCCCAAAAGCTGCTTGTATTATTATACACTCATTTATTGCCGGGCTTGAAGTATATAAAAAATTTATGAGTACCTTTTGACTGACATTGTACATCTGAAACTTAAACAGTTTATTGTATTGAATAAAAACCCTTTGAGAAAATTTGCCTCTCAAGACAATCGTGAAAAAAAAATTAAAAGAAGTGAAAATAAACTGTTAGTTGGTTGTTTTATTTTGTGATTTTGTGCAGGAATCATTGTTGTACTGTGTTGCGTCAGTTCAGTTTGATTCAATGGCAGGCTCTCCTGATATAATCTGTCTCTGACGTTATCAAACCAAGTAAATGAAAAGCAAAGAAAACTCAAACTTCAAACATTCGATTCAAAGTGACCTCTTGGATATTTCAGTCAGGGTTGCCGGCTTGATGCCAATGAACTGACATAACGAGTGCCGGCTATTATTAGTATTTTAAGGATATCAACTTTTACCTAACCAAACCAGAAACTATAAATAATAATGGCTGTATGAAATAACATCAAGCAGCTATATAAACTTAATATAACCCCTTGGAGACTGTTAATTTGTGATGAAAATTCGTAGACTGTTAATTTGTGATGAAAATTCGTACTAAAACAACTGTTCACTTAGTGGGTAGTCTATTTCCAAACGAATGCAAATTATAATGATTAGTACATGTGTATACATACATGTACCTTCACCTGAACATGGGCCAAGTCCAGGCCAGCCTTTGTATAGCGCAAATTACCACTCAGCAGCTAGCTCTATATTATGTGCTTTACAATGTAGGTCTACTATTGAACAAATCCATCGCATATTTTTTTAAGCGATCAGTTTTAAAGTTATACGCCTTTGCCTACACAGCGAAGGTTTGTTTTTGGGGTTTTTTATGTTCTTGTTGGGGGGTTTTTTGGGGGGTAGGATTTTTTGTTTTGTCTGAGGTTGTTTTTTATTTCAAGAGAAGATTGTCAACGTTAATAATACCTTGCAAAATTATGTGGTGTAGAGCATTTTAAGTAAAACCAGAGGGTTTACAGTAATACGTAGTATTACTGGGTTTACAGTAATATGTAGTATTACTGTAAACCCTCTCTGGTAAAACTGTCCAATTAAACGAATTTTTTCTGAAATGAGTTTTAGAGCCACATGTCAACATGATAATGCTACACATAACATACACACATGCAGCATATTAGGGGCCTTGGAAAAGCAGGCAATTTCTTTTTTCTTTTTCTTTTTTTAAATTTTAACCCACCGCTGTTAGTTAGTTAAGTTAGCGAGCCAGCGGCTGGACGAAGAAAGCTTTTTTTTCTGGCGTAGATCTAACTGTTTCCACCAAAAGCCGCGTGCTCAAACACATAATATAATTTTATACCGAGCCATAATGCTAGCTATATTATTATAGTAGCTTGCAGTTAGTTGGGCAGTGGGTGCTACATCGTAGGCTTTCATCAGTTAAGTGTTGACATAAAAAGCACTCCAGATGAACGGCATGCTTGTGTGTTATTGTTACATTTGTTGGAACTATCAGTGCATCGCCGACACATACTTTGTATTACAGGTACCCATCGAGCCAACAGAAAAAGATCCCATGTCCAGTGCCATTGTGATGTATGGCCAGGATTGCGTAATATAATTGATAGTGTATGGGCCGCTTTATACATGTAATGTGTAATCCTGGTTGCACAATAATTAGGCCAGCTCTATTTCTCCGAACGCTCGGGAAAATATAATGTAAACTTGAACTCTATTTCTCAGAACCGGTTTCCGTTCTCGAGATTTGTTGGTTACGAATGGAGTGGCCCACGTGCGTGTGTGTGTGTGTAAACTAGTATGTTATGTGTGTGTGTATGAGAGAGAGAGTATGTGTGTATGTGTGTGTGTGAGAGAGAGAGAGAGTATGTGTGTGTGAGTATGTGTGAGAGTATTAATAAATGACGTTGGTGGGGGGAAGTTTCTTCAGTATCGGCTACTAAAGACGCACCTCTCGACTGAGGACCGCGGCTCGAGGAGGGGAGAGTCCGGAGATATACATTGGCGTGTGGCTAGAGGGAACGGGACCTGTTTGTGAGTGTGTGTGTGTGTGTGTGAGAGAGAGAGAGAGAGAGAGAGAGAGAGAGAGTATGTGTGTGACAGAGAGAAAGAGAGAGAGTGTGTAAGTGTGTGTGAGAGAAAGAGAGAGTATGTGCGTATGAGTGTGAGTATGTGTGTGTGCGTGTATGTGTTTGTATGTGTGTGTGTGTGCGCGTGTGTATGTGAGTATGTGTGTATATGTGTGTGTGTGCGAGAGAGAGAGAGAGAGAGAGAGAGACAGGGTATGTTTGTATGCGTGTGAGAGTATGTGTGGGTGAGTACGTGTGTGTGTGTGTGTGTGTGTGTGTGTGAGAGAGAGAGAGAGAGAGAATATTATGTGTGGAGAGAGACACAGAGAGAAAGAGACACAGAAAAAAGACACACA